TTTCACTGGAAAAATATAGTACATGTTTTACATATATTATAAAAAATTATTTATATATTAATATAAAGTATATAAAGATTATTAAAACAAAAATATACAAAAAGTTATATAATATTAATTAGTATACATATACAGTGCCATAAAATAAAAAAAAAATTATTCCCAATTGAATAGCTATTATATATTAATATTATCCCTAAAAATAAAACTTTTTATTTTATACAAAAAATAAAAAAGTTTTGGTCAATAAAAAACTAAATATAAGCAAAAAAATTATTATTATTATATAATATCATACACTCGTGTGGCTCATGGAGAGAGAGAGAGAGAGAGAGAGGGATGGGAGGGGAGGGGAGGGGAGGGGAGGGGAGGGGAAGGGGAGGGGAAGGGGAGGGGAAGGGGACAGTTGTCTCAAGGTTACTTTTTTTGTTAACAAAATTTTTTTTCCCGATAGTATATAAGGTCTAGTAGTTTACCTACCAGTCCTCACTCACACCATCACTAAACAGCTATTTATTGTCCATTATATAACACTGATCCCTACATATCATCAAAAAAAATGGTATTATTAACTAAACTAATAGTTTAGCTTAGTTAGCTAATAGTTAATTAATGTTTTATTTTTTTGTTTGTTTTACTTTACAGTACGCACTGGTACTTCTAGCCCTTTCAGCAGCAGCTGTCTCTGGACAGGTAGTCTCCGACTACGGTGGTGTCAATCCAATTGTCCACCAGACACCCGTACCTCATGTTGTTGGCAATGGTCTAAACTATGGCTCCTACTATAATAACTATCTACCCCAACAACAACAACAAGCATACGTTCCCCAGACATACGGTGTCCAACAACAACAAGCATACGTTCCCCAGACCTTTGGTGTCCAACAATCATATGTTCCCCAGACATACGGTGTCCGCCAACAACAAGCATACGTACCGAAAACATACGGTGCATATACTGGCGTTTCTGGTGCCGTTCCCGAGTATAGCCGCGACTATACTATCGAGCAAACCGGCGAAAAGTATGGCTTTCAATCGGGTCCCGCCTCCTTTCAATACAGTTTTATCAAAGGTAATACCGGTGCCGCCGCTGCCCATGATTTTGGTAACCGTGAAGTAATTGCCGCACCTGTCCATCAAAACGTCGCCCGTCTATCGGCGGTACCTAATGTCCAATTCAAACAGCATTACAACAACCAGGCCTTCAATATTAAAAAATAATTGATTTTTTTTTCATTGATATTATTATTATTTTGTTTGTTTGTTTCAAATAATTAATTTGTGTTATAATTATTATTTGTTATTATGATTATGAATATTATTTTGTTTTTATTTACAATCTATTGAATATAATTTTTTATATAAATAATTGTTTCAATAAAATGTAATAAAAAATATTTTTGTTTGCAATTTATATTTTATTGTGTGATTTCTTATTATTTTTTTGTTAATATTTTTTTTAATTAAAATTTAATAATATTAATTTAGTTATAAAAAAAACTTATTAAAAACTTTTTAATATCAATTGCATATTTTAATATTCAATATATTTAATCTATTAATTTTTAAAAAAATGTTTATATTTAAAATAAATTAAAAATATAAAAAATATTTAGTTTTATAAAAATATATATATATATAAAAGTTTACTTTAGTTAAAATATTAAATTTTATAAAATATAAGTCTAATATTATACTGTATTTAGTAAATTACTTTACTAAATGTGTTTTACAAAAAAATATGCAAATTAAACAAAAAATAATAGAAAAATAAAATAATATTATTAAATAGTAAACAACATTATTTTTAATTAATTAATTAATTAAATAACACTTTCACTATTTTACACTATTCACTAGTTTATAAACTTTTATATAAAATATAAAAATAAATAAATATAAGCCAATGACTTATAAATTAGTTTTATAAAATTAAAAAATAAACAAATTTATTTTACATATTATATATTAATATATATAGTATGCTAATTACTAAACTACATATATATATATAAATTTTAAATATTTAATTTATTTCAAACATATAAACTAAATGTAAATAATTATTTAAATATATTTATATAGTTTTGTAAAAACTAAACTATCATTTAATTAACTAAAATCTAAAATAATTACTAATAATAATAATAATAACAATTAGTTTTTATAACTGTTATTAATAATCAATTATAGTTATGAATAGTTTATTTATAACACAATTATTGATATGTGTTTTAAATCTAATATTAATTAGTAAAACATTTTCCACCACTGAATCCACTCAAACCAGTAGTAATGCAATCGTCGACAACCAAGATATTGAATTTTTTGGCCATAAAAACAACGGTAAAACTCACGCCAAACCTAACCCAGAGTTTCCAACCGAACCGCCGCCGGAATCGCAGATAGAATTAGAACCCGAATCGGAACCCGAATCCGAATCCAAACCCGAACCGCAACCGCAACCCGAATCCGAATACGATGACTGGGCAAACACCAATTGGATAGACAATAGTGGCCAACCGCTACCACCACCATCATCGGGTAATAATAATCAGTGGCCACCCGAACCGGAAAATAGCGACGAAGGTTATAACGAGTGGTCGCGACCGCCACCACCGCCGCATTACAGACCTACAGCCAGCAGACCTCCAGCACCCGTACGACCCGAAACGTGGAGACCACCGCCAATAACTACTACTACTACTACACGTCGGCCGACTCAGCGACCCGAACCGTGGACTCATCACACATGGATAACGCCGACACCGCCTAAACAAACACCACCACCGCCACCGCCGCCTCCAACACCCGAATCCGAATACCCGCCGAACCAGGAGTGGGAACCCGTAAACCCGGAACCCGAAGCTGAAGAAGATTACGACGAAGGCAGCGAAGAAGACATTTGGGTAACAATTCCGTCAATAAGTAGTACTACTACTAGTCGTAGACCTGTTCGACCCGAAACCATACCCGAAGTTCACAGACCAACACAGACAACTACAACACGTAGACCGAGACCCGAACCGACAGCTCCGGAGGTTCATTGGCCGCCCATTACTACTACAACTACTACTACTCGTAGACCGCGTCCAGAGTCTACTCAGGGCAGACCCGAACCCGAGACTCATCCACATAGACCACCACAACCACCGCAGGTACGACCAGAGGCTACACCCGAACAGCACAGACCAATCACTACTACTACTACTCAACGGCCACGACCTGAGGTCACGGCCGAAACCGAACCAATCTATACTACCACTACTACTACACGTAAGCCGAGACCCGAACCGCCAACAGCTGAAGTACAACCACCACCACATAGACCATCGATACCCGAAATATTACCCGAACACAGACCTAAACCGCCGGTAAAACCGTTACCCGAAACTGGTGTTCCCGAAGTACATCTGCCGCCAGCAGTTCCCGAAAACCAACCCATTGGTGAGTTATACACACACACACATTGAAACACAAAACCGACCCGTTTTTTTTGCAGCTCTAGTATTCATTATAAATACTATTTAATTATTATTATTACTACTATTAATCTATAACTAGAGTGCAAATCTATACGATGTCGACCAGGCTATCAGTGCGGCTGTATTAACCCGTGTCCGCCAACATGTCGCGAACCAAACCGCCGGCCGTGTACTATATACGTATGTCAACCGGCCTGTATATGCGCTCAGGGTTATGTACTAAGCGACAATCGCACCTGTATCCCGTTGCAAAGTTGCCCGGCCAAACCGGAAATACCACACTTACCACCAGTACCAACACTACCAGTGCCACCACCGTCGCCAATACCCGAACCCGAACCTAATAGGCCAGGTATTCAACAACAAAAATTTAGAAAAAAAAATTATTATTTATCAAAAAATTATTGAACAGTTTGTCCAAAAACGTGTCCACTGGGCACCCGATGCCAGTGCACTAACCCGTGTCCGGCCACTTGTTCGGAACCCGATCCCGAACCGTGTCCAGTGAAAAAATGTAACCCTGGCTGCCATCCAGTATGCAAACGGGGACAAGTGTTGGACCGATTAGGTGGCGATTGTATACCATTGGAGTACTGTCCCAGTAAGTAACCCTCCGCCACACCACACCCCACCCCCCCAAAAAAAAAATGTGTGCATGCTAAAATTTAAGCACCAGTAGCCTAATATATTTTTGTGTATAATGGGTTAGACCGCCACTGTATACGCCCGCAGTGCGATGATCACGACAACGAGGCCTGGTATGACTGTTCAACTCGTCAATGCAACCGTACCTGTGCCAACCCGACGGCCTACTGTACCGGCCAGTGTCTGAAACCGGGTAACTACGACTGTCGGCCGGGAACTGTCCGCGACTTGCGTACCGGCCGGTGTGTTGTCGGCCAACAGTGCCAGCAGCCGGTACTGTGCGACAGGAAGGACGAAATTTTCTACGAATGCGATACCCGACTGTGTCAGCGTACCTGTGCCCGACCCGAACCCCAGTGTCCCCAACAGTGTCGTATGCCCGGCAATTGTGACTGTCGACCCGGTTTGCTAAGGGATACCCGAACCTGTAGGTGTGTCGACAAACTGGATAAGTCGTGTTTAGCGCAGAGAGAGAAAAACCTAACATAAACTATAAGATAAAATAATAATAATATTAATAATAATATTAATAATCATATAAAAAATATGTTAAATTAAAAAAAATGTTTTATTTATTTTTTTTAAATTTATTATAATATATATTTTAATATATATTTATTTATTTTTTTAAATTTATGTTTTCTAGTTGCTTAAAAATATTATATATTTATTTTTATTTTTTTTTGTTATTAAAAAGTTGTACAATAAAATAATTGATTATTAATAAACTAAAAATTTATTTTAATTATATTTATCTAAAAAAAATAAAAATTAATAAATAAATAAAGTCATACAATTATTTTTTTTTGAATTTATCTATAATTAATTTTTTATATTTTTGTTTTTATATATATATATTTGATTATAAAA